GATAGAGCCTGGTGGAACCACTGAGACTATGGCCCCTAGCTGCCCTTCAGGTCTGGAATTGAACCCACACCTGTGGCTTCCAGCCAAGCAGAAGACAGGTATATGAGCTGAACATTTACCTGAGATAGATACACTCCTTGGAGACATCAGTCATGAGAAAGAAGGGCTGCTCATGCACAGGGAGACAGCTCAGGGAGTAGGAGTGCATAGAGGGATGGACACAGGGAAGAGGTGACTATCGGGAGGAAGTGGGAGTGGAGTTGTTGCATTGTGGAATTGTGGTCAATGTCATGAGACAAAGAGTATGTGAGCTGCTGGATGGAAAATGAATTTGCTCTGTAAATTTTCACCCAAATCACAATAAAAAACAAAAACAAAGTAGGCCTTTCTTCCACTAGACTGTGGATGGGCTGGAAGGAAGTGGGAGGCATCTCCTAACTGAAGCCTCACACTTTGTAATCCTCTAGCTCAGGTTATTTATGGATAAAGGGATAAAGTGCAGCCCATAATGTGTGGTTTTAATAACGTTTTTCTAAGGAGTTGCAGCAGATTTCCTTGCAGACTGACTTGAAGATGGCAAACCCAAGTGCAGTTAGAATCTAAGGGACTGATGCCATCCTGGGCCAGCCCTGGGGACACAGGTGAGACAGCCATGAGGAGCTTCTCTTGCTCATCAGTATTCCCAGTGCCTAGAACACATGTGGTCCACAGGAGGCTCTCGAGTATTAACCTGTTTGCTGGGGCATGGGGGGAGGGGCGGTGGGCATCATGCTGCACTCTTCATCTGCAATGGAGCCTAACCCAGATCCAGGAGACTACTGTGTGAGGACGAGGTGAGAAATGTACACGGAAATAACCAATGTCATTTCTGGCGCACACCCTGAACTCAATAGATGTCAGTTTCCCTCTTTCTCATGTTGTTTATCCTCCTTTTCATTTGGAATCTCACATTCTACGTAAATGTACATTTAAATGCTGTTGGAAAAAACATGCTGACTGGGGAAACCCTTCTATGTACACATGTAGTCCCGCACCCTGTGATACTTAAGCATCCCATGTGCTAATTTCATTTGGTTACAATCAATGTACTTTAAAGATTGAAGCAAGAACTTCCCAATGCTCACAATGTCAGTGATAAAGCTTAAGTAATATAAACACGACTTTTAACTATGTTTAAAATACAAATAAGAACTAAGTCTGGAAGGGAGTATGTTGAGATAATGGAATTAAAGTGGGTTTCTTCCTTTTAATATTATTGGGATATTAAAATGGTAAACTTATGAAAGAAAAAATTGCCTCAAGAACGGCCTCCATTATCGTGAGGTGAAATGAGAGGATGTGGAATTCATTCCAACCACTTGTCCAGACAAGGGGCCAGATTAAGGGGAGGAGGGGAGGCTCTAGGGAGGGGACTGAGCGAGGAGCCCGGGTTTGGTGGCCCAGCCTCTTCCTGGTATCCCCTTTCGAAAACTACTAACTCACCTTGCCCTTCCGGTTCCTCAGAAATGCTTCCTAATCTTGGGACAGCGTATGATGGCACCTTTCTCCAGGTTCCCCGTCTCCTCCCTTCCAGTCTCTCCGCTTCTTCCAGGCCTGTGTCACTGGGAATTACTGCCCACCCACTGGAGCTGCCAGCTCCCCTGCATCTGACCTTTCACCCTACAGCCAGATCCATCTTCTGGAAGCATAGCTTTGCTCTCTGCGTCCAGCACTCCAACACTTTCAATGTCTCCAATGCTTACAAGACAAAGGCCAAATTCTGCTCCTGGCAGGTAAGCTTCTCTATGACCCAATCCATTTTGCTAAACTTGCGTCTTACTCCGTTATCCAACTCTTGTCCTACACAAATAAATGCCTCCCCATCCCAAGCACACAGCCCTGTGCTTTCCTGACTACCTGGTTTTGCTCACAGATGTTGAGAAGAACGCCTGGAACGTCTTCCACCTCTACATCTCCGAAGGTTCAGCTTAAATGTTGTCTCCACTGAGATCTCTGACCCCAAATGAAGGTGTAACTCCCTGAATATCCATTTCACCCTCAGTGGTGGTCATCTGCAACCAGCTGACAAGCCCCAGGAAGGCAAGAAACCTGTCTCTGACTGCACCCCCAGTGTGCCCCCAGGAGATGGACAGTTGTTTTAACTCTGTGGAGAGCACCAATAAATGCACAGTCTGCAAATGGCATTCCTCCTCCCCAGTGGCACGCTCCCTCAAGTGGGCAGACTAGATGGGATTTACTGTGTAGAGACCTCCAAGTATGACTGGGACAAAGGTAACTGGAAGAAGACTTTCTCTGGTTTTCATTCAGCCCAAAACCTATGTGATGACCTTATGATACTGTATTCATGGCAAGCCGCTCAACAAACAGCACAGGAGCTCTGTGCTCATGAGCTCGTCTGGTGAGGCTCCAAGCTCCCAAACCAATGAACTACTCATCAACTTGACCATAATCTTCTAAGGAGAGGAAGGACTGTAAAATCCTAGGAAACTTGCCTTTATTCTGTTGGGTGAGAAAAATTCTAAGTGTTGGATCCCTACCTATAGGTGACTCCAGGGAACTAACAACCATCATGCATTCTCCAAGAGGTAATTACGCACTGAAGCCTTTATGCTGAGAAAAGGGAAATGAGGGTGTATCAGAAAATGCAAGTTCTATTCAAGCACCATCCAATTTGTCAAGCAAAAATAGTCTTTATTCAAATTTAATGGAAACAGGGGGCACTATACTTTGCAAGACAGGGAAAAATAAAATTAAAAAAAATTCTTTTCTTTTTTTTTTTTTAATATAAAACAATATAGTCACAATACCAGAATATGGAACTCTACAGTTTATTTTCTATGGGTTACTGCAGGTATCAATTTTCCTCGACTGTGCTATTCACAACTTTGTTAGGTCCAAAAATAAGAAACCAAAGTGGTAGGAAACTTAAGACTTAGCACTTTCACTAAATGGCATACATCAAAGGGCATCAATTCAAGGGCAAAAATGGTTGAACTCACCATACCTACCTATGTCATCATTCCAGCCTTAAAGCCATCCAGGTACTGAGCTTCCTATAGGAAAGGCCAGGCCTGAAAGCTGAGGCGTTTTGGATATTCTACTGTGGGCTGTGAGTAAAGGGGGGTTTCAAAGAGAAGATTTTTTTCAGTCGAGCAGGAAGGCCTGGTGCCAGGAGGCTTTACGGAGAGGAAGCACTGAGATTTAACAATTATAGACACACCATTAGGGGAGTTAAAAATGTACAGCAGTGACGTGTGGTCTACTTCAATCACTTGTGCTACGGCTACCAAACATGTACAAAAAACTTCTTGGGTAGTTCCAACTGTGGTCGTAGCCAGTTAGGACCTTGAGTGGGACCTAGATCTAGACCGGGAGGGTGATCTGGAAGCAGACCTGGATCTAGACTTGGACCGAGACCGGGTTTTTGAGGCTGACTTTGATCTAGAGCGCGATTCTGATGGGTTTGGTTTTGATTTGGAATTGGACCTCGACCTGGACCGGGTCTCCTGGTTGGTGCCAGCATCTTCACTCTCGCCTCGGCCTTCCCTCTGGCCAGACTCGGACTTGGCACGTTCCCGCTCCTTTGACACGGAGCGGGAGCGGGAGCGCGATCTGGACTGGGAGCGATCGGTGTCTTCCTTCTTCTTCTTGCTGCTGCCTGACTTGCTGTCTCGCTTGCCACCTCGTTTTCTGCTCCTCTCGCTCTTGCCGTGGCTGTGGCTGCGGCTGCGGCTGCGACTACGGCTCTCCTCCCGGCTTCTCTTCCTTCCCTTCCTCTTGTCCTTGCTTTTGCTGCGACTCCTGCTCCGGCTCCTGCTGCCCCCTTTGCTCCTGCTCCGGCTCCTGCTCTTGAGGAGGCTTTTCTCCTGACTTCTGCTCTTCTCCTTGCTTCTACTTCTGCTCACGCTCCCTCGCTTCTCCTCCTCCACTCTTCTCTCCTGACTCCTGCTCCTGCTTTTACTCTTACTTTTATGCCTGCTGGGGCTCTGGCTCTTGGATTTCCCGGCGCTGTCATTGTTCTGGATCTTCTCCTCGCCTTGGTCTCTGCTCTTACTGCGGCTCTTGTCAGCGCTGCGGCTGCGGCTGCGACTCTTGTCGCCCTTGCTGGGGCTCCTGCTCTTTTCCTTCTTGCTGCGGCTGCGGCTCTGGCTGCGGCTGCGACTCTTGCTCTGGGAATGGGAACGTGACCTGAAGAGGCAGAAGGGGTGTTTGAGTCTTATGTGGCTTTATACTTCCTGCTACTCATGACATGGAAAGACCAAAGGGGATGTGTGGAGGTATGGCCCACTACATGATGGACAGCTTGGACTGGCCAAGGACTGCTTTCTCAACCTCCATGATTCCAATCCGGAGCTGGAAAAACTAAGGTAAAGGCAGACGGGCAACAGTCTGATCAAATCACAGGGAGGAGTGCTGTGGGTGCTCCCTGACCTCCCACACGTTTACCGAGGAGACTGACCTGGATCGGGACCTGCTCTTAGAGTGACTGCTTTTGCTGCTGCCACTTCGGCTTCTGCTCTTACGGGAATGTCTGCTTCGAGAGCGAGACCTAGGGGGAGAAAATACATTTTTAACACTTGCTCACAAAAGACTAACTGATTATAGTCAATCAACCAAGATATTGTTCCAGTCAAAAATACCTGTGGACACCTGCTGCGTGCCAGGCAAAAAGTCAAAAGAGAAATCTCTCCTGAGCTCTAGGCTCCTAGATCCAGGTACCTGTAAACATTCCACCTGGATGGCTCACCTAAATCTCTCAGCACCTTCAATCCCGAACATACAGCCCACCCCCCTAAGAGCCATTTGTTTCTTGGGCTGGGTTCCTCATTTTCACCAATGCCACTGTTACTTACCCAGTTCCTCACACTAGAGATCAGAGCCATTCTCTTATGCCTTCACGTCCTGATCTTGCCTCTCAATCTCCTCCAGTCTGCTCCCCTCTGCGAGCCCCACCACCTCTCTCTTCTGGTACCTCAACAGCCTCCTGACTAGTCTTCCTGCATTCTTTTGCCCTTTTCATATCCATTTATTTCATTGTGACCAGAGCCATTTTAAAAAGCCAGACACTCTAAGCTTAAAACTTTTTCGGTTAAGTCCAGACTCTGGCCTCCTTGGAGAAATGACTAATTTCAAGGGTAGGGCAGATGTGCGTAAGATGGGCCTATGACATCGCATGACAGAAACAGGAAAACCTGGGGAGACTCCTGGGCACCATCACCAATGACGGACTCCTGTCAAAAATGTTTAACCTGCATCCCAATCATCTCTCTCCAGACCTAATTCCCAGTTCACAGGAAGTTAGGGGATAAGGTGCAAATTCCTAACACCAAGAGGTAATATAAATCCAGAATTTTTGAAAATTTAAAGAAAAGGAAGTCTGATGGGGGAAAAGTAGGGGAACTGCCCAAGGCTAAAGAGACGCGACAATCACTTACAATACATACTGCATTGAGTTCTTTAAAAGACCCCCATAGAACAAGTGGAGAAATCTCACTACAGCCTTGATGGTAGGTGATTTTTTGGAATTACCATTAAAATTCCTAGGTTAGAAAATGTTGACATCTCTGAGCACACTGATCAATCTTACTTACTATCATTACAACTGGGACACACAGACCTCACGTAACAGGAAGCACAAAGCATGACCTACAAAGTAAGTGTTTCTGCCAAAACCCTGACCCTGCTCTCACGCCCTAAGATCAAATTACACATTTACAGGAAATTCAGGGGAGAGGATAAAGCCTGTGTTAAATACCAACACATGGAGGCCATCAGCAAAATGTGAACTATGGAAATTCAAATGACCTCATTTCTTCAACAAATAAATGGATGGAAAGTAAAAAGGGGGTGAAGCAGGACATGTTGGTCATTAAAAGATTTAAGAGACTGTCATCAGGGAAAAAAAAGAGACTGTCATTGAAATGCAATGTGTAGAACTGCTTGGGATATGAACAAACAAGGAACAAAAAATATATGTGAGATGAATGCACAATTTTGATAATAAAACTGGTTATTAAAGAATATCATGGAGGTATTGTTAATTTTGCCTGGTATGATAATGGCATTATGGTTTTATTAAAAAAAAAAAAAAAAGTTAGAGATACAAACTGAAGTATTTATAGGTGGAACGACAGGAAGTCTAGACTTACCTTAAAACAAGCAGAAGGGGGGTGAAAAAACCAGACTGGCAAAATAAAGACTGCAGCTGAAGGGTGACAGGGTAGGGGGTTCAAGGTGCATGAGATGCCTTTCTCTCACACTACAGCACAGACACTCAGTAGGTATTTGAAAATTTCTGTAATAAAAAGTTTAACTGAAAAGCATAAAGTCTAAAGGACTTCCTGTTACTCTTAAATCCTTAACCTGCCTCATCTCAAGCTACTGTCCTTCCCCACACTGGCCTCCACTTTGGAAAACTCACTCTCATCCCTAGGCCTTCAAAAAACGTTGTTCTCTTTGCCTGAAAGGCATTTGCCCTTGCTCTGTCCACCATTTCCAACTTATCCTTTAGGGCTCAGCTTCTATGAAATTTCCTTAAGGAAGCCTCTGCTGGTTGGGCTCTATGTATTTCCCTTGACAGACTTTCATAATGATAACTGTTGAATGCCTGTGCTCTCCACTAAATCCAAGTTCATGAGGACAGGAACCTTATTTGTCTTGTTCACAATTGCTTCTTTAGTGCTTAGTCAGTGGCTGGCCCATCTGCAGAACAGCTGCTAAATAACACAGAGTCTCCACTCGAGTAGCTAGGGCATCTGGCAGGGAAACCAAGAGACCAGTGGTCATGCTTGCCCCCAACCAGGCTATGATCCAGGGCACTCAAGAAGACATGGGAAAGAAGGCTACTGACTCTGCCTGTGAGAGAGGACTTTACTTCTATTTGAATTCATGACATAAGAGTTCAAAGTTTTACAAGTTAGTGTTCAGTTCAAAGTTCTGAGTTATCGAACCAGATGGGACCATGTCACTGAGAATTCCACAGGGGAATGTAAACAGAGTATTTACGTGCTCGTTACTAACTCATGGTGAGCACCCACAGTACCTCGAATGACTCCGGCTTCTGGAGTAGGACCGGCGTCGTCTAGAACCTGGCTTGTCTTCAACCAATCTGATTTTTCTGCCATTGACTTCAGTTCCATCCAACTTTTCCAAAGCTCTTTTCATATCAGAGTAAGACAAAAATTCGATCACCCCTTCATTTTTGCGTCCCTTGTGAGCATCTGCATAGGTTACCTCTCCCGCCTGACGCATATAATCCTAAAGGAAAAAAAAAAAAATTCCCCAAATAGGTTAGGAGAGTTTTTGCTAAATTATCTAATGCAATCATCAATACCAGAGTTTTTCCTTTAAGGAGAAATGCCAGCTTTTCTCAGAATGAAGTTTACTCTTAAGTACTTCCATCTACCTGCCAGCTATTTACTAGGGTCTTTTTAAGTGTCAGGCACTGGGTGAGTAGTAGGGATGATGAACAGGTATTACTATTGTTTTAAATAAGTTATTTTCGAATATAAAACTTCTGAATTAACTATCATTTTCTAAAGTCTTGTTTGAAAACATGTATGGATAGTGAGAAACATTAAGGTGAAATTTAATCCATAAAGGTTATGAAATTAGTCTCAAAATTTTATTTAAAATTATTGTTACATCATCTCTTCCAAACAAATCAAAGGCAAAAAGGAACAGAAGAATCTTTTAAGTGTCTGTTCTGTCTCTTAAAGTGGTACCCCCACCTATGCCACTTTACTACTATAAGCCTTGTCTCTTACCATGTTTCAAAAGACTTTGTATGACCCAATGAAATAACTAATGTGTTAGGTGGACACTAAGGTGATACACAAGTAACAGGATCTATAAGTAGTGTTTGAAAGGGCAATGGAATTTGGATAAAATTAAAAATTTAAGAGACTTACTGCTAATTTTTCTACATTTATTTATACACAATATGCCATACACTTAATAGATATTTTATGGAACAAACATATGAATGAATATTCAATAAACTCATTGCGGTGGAGTTGATTTGATTCACAGTGACCCCTCTTTGGGTTTCCGAGGCAATATCTCTATGGAAGTAGATTGCCAATCTTCCTTCCGAGGAGTGGTGGTGTGAACCACCAGCCTTCTGGTTAGCAGTCAAGCACTGATACTCAATAGCAGATCATTTTTGTATCCTATGTTCTTCTATTTCACAAACATTGAACACACGCCATTTTATAGTTATTTCTCTGCCCACTGCACCATAAACATGTTTACATGTCTTAACATATAACACAGAGTCTTTATAATTAGTGTGTGTAAGATTTCTTCTGAGGATTTCTCAATTGATGGGATTTTTAGGCTACATAAGAAGCTCTGGTAGCATAGTGCCTAAGGCACTTGACTGCTAACCAGAAGGCTGGTGGTTCAAACCCACCAAAGCCACTCCTTGGAAGGAAGGTTGGGCAATCTACTTCCATAGTGATACCACCTTGGAAACCCACGGAGGGTTGCTATGAGTCAGGTCCGACTTGACGGCACATAACAACAACAACAACAACAACGACGACGACAACAACATAAGGAGCTCTGGTGGCATAATGACTAAGGCATTTGACTGCTAACCAGAAGGTTGGCAGTTCAACCCACTAGCCACTCCGCAGAAGAAGGAGCCATCTATTCCCATAAAGATTTGCCACCTTGGAAATCCAACAGGGGTCACTATGAGTTGGAATTGACTCGATGGCAGTGGGTTTATTTTTGGTTTTTAGGATATACATAGTCTTTTGCTATTATTCATAATGTAGCAATGAATACACCTCTGTACGATAAAATTCTTTAATTCAAGTGAATTACTTGCAGGAGTGAGAGTTCTGTGCAAAGGGCAAGGAGTTCATAATTTATCATCTAAACTGGGATACATCTGAGAGTGAAGGAGGATGATGTTAATAGTCATGCCAAGATCAGGACTGTTCTGAGCAAATCAAGGTATTTGACCATTCTGCTAAAAGGGCTTAAAGAGTGTCACTACATCTGTTCTATACTGCCATACTTCTAAATTAGAAAATAATAATTTAGTTCTAATTATAACCATAACCCCCACTTCATATATGAGAAAAGTGAGATCTAGAGACATCTGTCATTCATTAAGGTAGTAAATGAATGAGCTGGTGTATAAACCTAAGCCCTCAGACTCCAGAACCTGAATTGCTAACACCCTTCACACCAATTCACTAGCAGTCTAGTACCACATCATTTTCAACTCAATGCCATCACTATTGGGTGTTACGAATTTACATATTTTCAAATTAACAATACCCCTTTAATATGCTTTATTTTGGCATTTCCTTGATTAATAACTAACATCTATCGTCCCAGGAACTGTTCTAGTTTAATATAAAAAATTCCGTAATCCTCACAATAACCTTAAGTAGAAATTAGTATTAATCCCGTTTTGCAGCTGAAGAGTGTGAGGCACAGAGAGAAGTAGCTTGCCATGGCCATTCAATGGTGGAGCTGGGATCCAATCCAGGCTGGCACCAGAGCCCATCTTAGGGACACTGTGGCTTACTAGGAAATCTGCTCTATACTCTCATTCTCTGAGAGTGAGCATGTCCAAAGTGACAGAAGTATAAAACCAACTGTGGATGCTGGCTAGGCCCCATTTTAACCAAAAATTTAAGGATTACTGTGAGAAATTAAGTTAATCTCCTATTTAGGGACACCACACAACAGGCTGGCATTCTCTACTCTCAGAGTATAGCTTGCCAGTTCCCACTTACAATGTCCAACCCCTAACACAACACTGGAGTCACTCCTGCAGAGGGTACAACTCAGGTCAGGAACTCAGGGAGGGCTGCTCTCTATATGCTGACAGCCAGCAGGAGGGACAGGGGAAAAACACTGACTAGCAGTCAAAGCCTGGTCCCAGCTCTTCTGCCGAGATCATCTGTATGACTTAAACTTTTCTGGATCTCATTCTGGATCTCTTGTTAGAGAGTTACTTGATAAGTTGAAACTATATATGACTGTAAAGGATTCCTAACCACTTTTCCTTGAACCTAAATATACGCACTTATTTTGGTAAAAATGACTTGTTAAAAGATGAACTAAACTGAGATGTGAGATAGGAAACTCAAGAGTATCCTTCTCATCTGTCCTCCTAAGACCATCTAGGTTAAGCCACTACTCTAATTCACTTTTTCTTCTTTGAAAAAGAGATTAAAAACCAACACTGTTCTCAAAAAATGAGCCTGGGTTAGTGTTGGATGGCCAACACAACACTGAACCTTAATTTTTGACATGAAATCATTTCAGAAAAAAGTTTTCATGAAAAGCAAATAAACCTTATGAAAGAACTCGTGAGATACTCAGTTTCACCAATGAGTATTTGCAATGGAAAGCTGACATAAACTTGCATGTTGTAGCTAATGCTACAGGACACACTGATGGTTGCAACTTTCTCCTAATTGCTGAGAACCACTCTGGCATCTATCTCCCTATAACATTTTCTACCCAGGAACATTTCATGATAGGTTTGTCCTTAGAGTGATAGTCCCATAATGTAAAGCAGTAGTGAGACTCTATCTTTTGTACCCCTATGCAATCTTTCACCAAAGAATTTTCAAACACTTTGGGAAGATGCTCAAACACATAACACCAATACATTCTGAGTATGCCTGTGGCCCACATAAAATTACCTGTTTCCTAAACTAACTCTTGCCCAACTTTACCCCAGAAGATTAACGGGACCCAAACCTTTAGGTCTTGCCAGCTGCACCGACTTGACAAATTCTCCACAATAAGCCTGTACTCTGTGCGGGTAGGAGGGCCGTATTTATCTCGGCCACTTCTTCTATAACCATATCCACCTTGGGAAGGTTCAAATAGGTAAGATTACTTCAGTGGAGGAAAAGGAAAAAATGACATAGCACATATTCCCCTTAAATATACTATTTATCTCCCACCCCAAACAACAGCTATGTATTTAAGACTACTCCCACCCTTAATTCTAAACTAGATTCATTTTTATTTCTTAAAAAAGAAATCAGTTAAACATGAAAATTTAATTTAAAAAGTTGTAAGTATACACATTCATTAATTTTTATATTTAAAATTAACATGCATAAATTAAAAACTATTAACAATTTAACAATATAGAAATAAGTAACCAAATTACTAATCAGTTACAGGTGTTACTCACAGTGATTAAAGTTTTGTGAATATTTTATATAAAAAAGATTTTCAGGCACCTATTTCAGTTTAATCTCATCTGTGTCTAACCCTTGGGATCCTCACCACCCAGGTCTAATGGGGAAAGGTTGCGGTCGTCACATGGCTTCCTGTTTTTGGTCAGCCAAGGGCCACAATGGTTCAAAGAGCCACGCATGGAAAGGTAACCCAAGGTCAGCAAATGGAACAGGCAGTCATCTTAGCCTCAAAGGATTCTTTTAATTAAAACATTGAGGTCTTTGTTAAATCTATGTTAAACAATTGCATTACAGAGAAAAAAAACAACACAAACACATATCATTAAACATATTATAAAGTATTAAAACAAGAAATTTATGTCATTATTTTCATTAACATTAAACATTATCAAAGATGTTTATTTGCAATTCTACATTAAAAAGATACATAATTTTATAAAAACAAATGGCTTAAACATCAGTAATTTAAGTTTAACATTAATTAATTAATTACTTTTAAAAAAATTAACACTTAATAACAAAGTCACGTCACTGATACAAATGCCCTTTAAATGCTTACTGCGTCCAGAACCGTAACTGCCATCTCGACGTGGGCCGCGGGCATGTTCAACAATTACTCGCTCACCACAAAGGTCTTTGCCATTCAGTTCATAAACAGCATCATCTGCATCACGCAGATCATCAAACTCCACAAAACCATACCTAGAACAGAACAAACAAAATCCTGGTTGGCACTATTTTGACCCCCCAACTTCACTAACATCAAAGAGAAAGCAATGAGGTTCATGCTTAGCAAAGGTTAGGTGGGTTTTGCAAACTAGGGGTCACCTTTCTCTTCCCTTTAGCTGAAATCACTTTGCTCTGGGCCAAGAGACACTGCCAATGGACAGGGAGACTTCTCGAAGTAGACTCCCATCTTTCTAGAAGAGGTTGGCTAGATACAGAGAGATTACTGCCCCGAGAGGTTGATGGCAACTGCAAAAACCTATACAAGGATGCTTGGTACAAGTTCAACTACACGATTATTTGCTCTTTCAACATACCACATAAAAATCCATCTTTTGAAACTGTAGTCCAAGTGATAACTTAGAGAACAATTAGACTTACATTCAGGCACTGTGTCTTAACTGTTAAATCATGTTTTGAACTAACATACCAAGTAAAATCACAATATTTTAAATCTCCTTGGTGAAAGAAATTAAAAAACAAAACCAAACTCTAGTTCCTCCATCTAAACAAACTAGTAAAAAGGAAATGACTGTTCAAGTAATTATCAGTGGAAAAATTCTGAGCTAGTCACTTTCTTGTGACATTCCAAACTCACTTCCGTGAGGCTTTAGATAGGCTGGAATTCTCGAAAATCTCTAAAAAGCATGCAAACTTCTTTAGACAGTATTGCTAGGAATTTTCCAGCAAAGAGATTTGGTGGTTGAACCCAAAACAAAACGCTCCAAAAATCCTATTGATGCCTATTAAAGAGTACAATTTATAACACCAAAGTGCAAAATTTGTAAGATATTTTGAAGCAAAGTTAAACAACACTGTAAATTACTCTACTAAGAAGTGTTTAGTGTGGTCCAAAATGGCTGTGGTAATTCTAGCTTTGTGACTTGTGCCTGTAATTAAAAACTGAAATCATCTTACTGACCATACCAAATCATAAAGGGAAATCACAAGCACTTTCTTTAAACTGTAGCAAGGCCATGCACACAGGCAAACACTGAAGAGTGTTCATCAATATTTAAATGGATTCCTGCATATACTGAACCTAAAAAGAGGTTATAAGACTTGCTAGGAGTTCATTTAACCTGTTGACAAAAAAGTATTCCACTAATTCCTTAACATGTAACATTGTTAAATAAATGAGAGCCTCAGAATTGCTGAATTTTTCCTTACTAAGGAGTTCCTTCAAACAAGTTTCTCAAGGTGGCACTTTATTAGGTTACAGTGTGCAGCTCACGACTTTGGAGGGTGTGTTATACTGAAATGTCTATGAGTGGCATTTAAGCTTTACGAGTCACTGGATTTCAACTCCATTAAAAAAAAAAAGTAACAGATATAATAGGTAATATATCGTAGCTATTTTTTCCTTTCCTAGGTAGGATGGATCATGTGGAGAGCTAAACAATTGTTTCAGGGACAAAATCAATGAATAAAACAAAAGAAAAAAGGCAAACACAAAAAAGAATCTAAGCACTTTCTACTTTGGTTTTTTCCTAAAATAGATCTTAACATACTAAAAAAAAAAAAGTGCCTTTCTTAATTTAGGTGGGGAGACTAGGCATGGGTCTGTTTTGTCCACGTATCATCGCTCTTGGCACCATGCAAGAGCCTGATGCCAAGCAGAGGGACGAAGGACACATTCAATACTGACAGGATGAAGAGGCAGGCCTTCACTTCCCTTGAAGAGCCACCCATTGGCTCAGCACCATTCAATGACCATGACTGACCTAATGGGATGTCAGAAGGAGAACACAGGCTCCTGAAGCTTAACCAAATGAACCCTAGGGAAGTCTCGTTTTCTTCAGTAGGCTTTACAACCACTTAAGGGTCATAGAATGTGTGACCCTAAGCTCCGAGAGCATCTGAAATGGAAAGCTGAACTACTGTTCCTAACAAATGATGCTTCTGCCTCAGAGATCTCCTGTGCTCACCTGCTCTGCTCCAAGGCTTGTATGCAGAACAACTCACTCTGATCTTGCAGGGTAAGTAATGACAATTTGTTATGTGGAGGCACATTAGTTAAAAACAAAGATTAATGTTTGGAGTGAGCCTTCTTTGCTGCTGAGGCTGAAGCAATGCACAACTAATACATTCCTCCCCAAGTTGTAGGAACCAATTTGTGATGCTTGAGGAAAATGACCCTACAGTCACTTCCCAAATAATATACTTTCTATAAGTTCCAAAAGTAATTTAGTCACCTTTTTGGGGTATCCAAGTCACTAGTGAAAACAGGTGACTTGAGATTAAATTTCACAGAAAAATTCTGGCTACTATGATATGAAAAGCCACAAAATCAATGTGGAACATTTTGATGTCAAAGTTTAGCCCAAGGATCAAATGAGACCGTAACTTCTCTCTGCCACTGACATGGTGGGTGTGTTCAGAAAACTTAAAGAAACATCCTCCCCCATAAGAAGCCATACCTGGTAGAACTCATGCTCTGTAAGCAAAACAGACTGATCGTTTGGTTGCTTCCACAAAATTGTTTATTTAGGGAACTTTACTGGAAGAATGACTTCAATTCATTCAGTAAGTAGAGCGAATGGGTCCCCTAAATAAGGTAGGAAGACTGGATAATACCAATAAAATATTACCTAGCATTTATTAAATAATCTCTATATACTAGACAATGCCAGCTTATTTAATATTTGTAATACTCAAGAGCCAGGCACTATTATCCCCATTTTAAACATGAGGAAACGGAGCACAATGCTAAATAACAAAAAAGTGGCAGAGATGGCATTCAAAGCTACCTGGTCTGACTCCAGAGCTCAAACTTGGAATCATTCAGAGTAGGGCAAAAGGGATTGGCCTAGTCAGTTCTGCTACAAATCAGCACTGAAATGCACATTCAAATCACTTTACTTTTCTGGGTCTTACCTTTATCGGTGAAATGAAGGGGCGTTACTGTATTATTTCTACAGTTTTGCCTAGTATCAAAAGTGAGATGGATAAATGTTAAATTTAGTACTCCTCTGGCTTAATGATTGGATACTTTAAACTCTAAAGTTTGGGAGGCCTGGACCAGCATCAGAGGTATGCAACAGCAACAGAGAAACAAAGATACATTACCTAAAAGACCTTATAAAACTACTGTATGAGTCCCAATTTTAATTTTACTTCAACATTTAAAACTGTCCTTGAATTAAAATGTAGTCCCTTCAACAAAGTAAAGCTCTCTCTGGAGACTTGGTAAATTGTTCTTAACATCCCCTTTGCTCTTTGCAGCAAACACAACAAAAACCAATTTCTTCTCCTAAAAAACACTCTCCTTTTGAATCCTTTGTCAAAGTAAGGATGGATACAGAATACACACACACATATATCTCTGGTATGACCTGTGAATAAGCCTCACAAAACACAACCCAACAGGTAGGTTTCTTAGTTACAGACATTCTTCCTTTTCTACTCTATTAAAAGCAAAGACTTCCTTTCAATTGATTCTAGTATGAGAATGAAGAAGATGGAGAAATTTAGGAGAATAAATCTAAGACAAATTTTAAAAGCCCCCAATAGTAGGAAAAATGACAAAAATAAACAACTCTCAGATTCCATGCCTTTCAATCTTTCTCTTCTATGTCTATGTGAAAGAATAAGAAGCGTGGTCTATTAAGCATACAATACTAAAACTTGTACTTTCTTTAACACTTCTGTGCTATTAACTTTTATCAAACTGGTTTCCTCTGTTTTTTTTCCCTGACAAATTTAGTTAAACAAACAACGAAAAAAAGAGTGGTGATGATGGTGGATTGCTGCTATTTTATCCCTAAAAAAAGTGGGTGCCATGATTCTTACCAACTATAAACAGACAAGCAGGCAGGCATCTGGCCACCACAAACAAAAGCCACACTGAATTAGGAAAGCTGTTCTGATCCTTATTCAGTCCTTACACCACTACCAGTGCTCTAGTCTTGCTCATTCAACAGCTGACGTACTGCGCAGGCTATCAGTCAGAGCTCTGAAATGGGAGCACTGGAATCACTTTTTTTTTAAACTAAGGCACTTCAAGATTTCAATTTTAGAAATGTTAACTATACTTCTTCATCCAAGAACTATCATCTGAACCTCTACTGTTGCTCAACAGCCTTTCCTTGATCATAATAAACTACATTAATGGTCCCAAACACCACCAAGTATATCTTGTTCTCTGTGGGTTCTACTGAAGAGGATGCTGAGGCTATCTCACCCTTTTCAGGTTGGCTTAGGTTCATTTCTGCCTTCTAAACAACCTCACAAAACAGGGAGACTAGAGAAAAATGCTGTCTGAAATGCTGTGCATGACTTGCTATGCACTTGATCTTGCTGATCAATGGCTAACTGAGCAGTGCACGACTAAGGAGTGCTCAATTCTAGCTAACTGATGGGGAGTGGATATGAGGAGCAAGGGAAAGCAAGCCTCCATGCGCGTGACCACAGTCACCCACCAACACTGCTTACCAAGGGGCATGCCTCAGATGTTCTCTCTACAAGAAAAATTGGCCCCTTTCCACAGTGGATCTCTGCTCACCTTTGTCCTAAAACTGTGCCACATGCTTTTCTTTGTATGTGGACATGATAGTCCTCAGCCACCATCAGCAGGATGTGAGTTTGTTTTCCCAATGTGGTGAGCCATTCCCACATTCATTCATTTTCCTTGTAAGAACCGAACCTCTCCATGGCTGGTCAGGATTAGGGATGTTGCTGTAGCCAAGGAAAAATTTTCATCTGTTGAAGTTAACCCATGGGTGGCTTGAACCCTCAATCTAGAGTCAATAGCACTGTGCTTTAAGGGTAGAGTCTTTAAATCTACCCTATGAGAAATGGCATTCAATGAATAGGAATCAAACACCTTATTTTCGAAACACTCAGTGTTGGTCCAAAGCTTCAGGTAACTTGTTCTTATGAGGTGAAAAAAGTTAGGACATACTGACAGGATAGTAATAAAAAAACAGTAATTCTTGTCTCAACAAAGTGCTTGGAAATTTGAAGACAGACACTTA